TATAAAATTAATTTGTGTAAGTAATAATACTTAGAAAAATGATTAATAATATAAAACAAGATTAAGAGAAAGGAGGTATTGAAGGATGGTGGTGGAACCAAGGCAAGGGAGGAGCAAGCGGCAGGCAGGGGTGGCGGCTGCTGGTGGTCGCCGGCGGCAGCAAGTGGTCGCCGATGGTGGGCGGTCACCGGTGGCCGGAAAATGGGAAGGAGGAAGAGAGGGGGAAAACCGTGAGAAAGAGAGGAGGAAGAAGAGAATTTCTTGAGGTTTTTGGTGTGATTCTTGGGGTGCTTGAAAGGGGTATTTATAGGTGTTTAGGTGATGGGTTTATGGAATTTTAGGGTTTATAAATTATGGAAGTTTTTGAAAAATAGAAATTAGGGTTTTAAATATATGGAAGGCTATAATATTTATTTGATCATGAAATTCTATTTGGTAGATTTTAAGCTTGGAGTGCAAGTATGACATAGAATCAAATAATTTTAGGTTTATGAATTGAAGTAAAGGAATTTAAAGGATTTTATTTTTTTAATAAAATAATTAAAAATCTTTGTAGAAAAATCATGAATGGCCGAAAATATTGAGCAAAATATTACTCAATATTTTCGGACCTATTATGTTAGTTTAGGGATTTTGTAAAATAATTTATTTGTCAAAAATTAAAGATTTAATAAGTTTATAGATATTTGGAAGAATAAAATCAATTTTCTTGCTAGATTATTAGGGTGGCCGAAAATTTGGTCTATAATAAGGTATAAAAATCAGATATTTATTATATAAAATTTAAAAAATTATTTGATTATTTTAGGAAATCATTTTATTTCATAAAAATAATTAATTTAGCAAATAATTATTAAAAATCGGATTTTTAATGTATAAAATCCGAAAATATGCTTTATTAGCTTAGGAATTAATTTTATTTTATGAAAATACTTTTACTTAGAGTAAAATCAGATTTTTAATTGTAAAATTCGAAAATGATATTTATTTAGTTTTAGGAAATTAATTTTATTTCATGAAAATAATTAGTTTAGCAAGATATTAAGTAAAATTGGATTTTATTGGAAAAATCCGAAAATACTATTTACAAAAATCAAATTTTTAAATCCGAAAATGCCTCTAATTTTATTAATTAATATAGTTTTGTTTTATTATTTATTTAATCAAATTACTATTTATAAAGTTTTTAGTTTATCCATTTAATTAAAATAAATGATTTAGGCGCCAAAATTCAAATATCATTTTGGCTCCAAAACTGAGATACTCTTAAGTTAGAAAATACGTCAAAAATACGAGACTAAATACTCTTTAATTTAGAAAATACCTTTCAAAAATACGGGGTATAACAGTCTACCCCCCTTAAAAGAAGTTTCGGCCCGAAACTATGCGAAGTGATGAGGAAAGAATTTCTTCTTTGAAAATAGTTTTTAGTTAATTAATTTCATGCATATGCTAAACATTCTAACTAGACACAACCTATTGCTAACTTAGAGGGTTGGGAATAGGTGCGCGCGAAACTCTATCGCATTCTACCCCCCTTAAAAGAGTTACGCCCCCGTAACTCGACTACTAACCTCCAGAAACAAATCTGGGTAGCGTTTCCGCATCTCGGCTTCAGCTTCCCATGTTGCTTCTTCAACCTTGTGATTGGTTCATAACGCTTTTACAATTCTCACATCTTTGTTTCTTGTGCTCCTGACTTTAGTATCCAAGATTTTGACAGGTCTTTCTTCATAAGTCAGATTTTCGTCCATTACTATGTTCTCGGGTTGTAATACGTGAGTCCTATCAGGTATATACTTCCGGAGTTGGCTCACATGAAATACGTTATGGACCTTTTCCAGCTCACTGGGTAAGTTCAACCTGTATGCCACCTTTCCGATCTGTTGGGTAATTTCGTATGGTCCGATGTACTTTGGACTCAATTTTCCTCTTTTCCCAAATCTCATAACCCCTTTCATAGGTGACACTTTCAACAACACTTTCTCTCCTACTTGATATTCTTCTTCTCTTCTCTTTGAATCAGTATAGCTTCTTTGCCTATCTTGGGCTGCTTTCATCTTTCCTTGTATCAATTTGACTTGTTTAACCATGTCTTCAATCATATCTGGTCCAAGTACCATCGTTTCACTGATATCACTCCAACAGACTGGGCTTCTACATTTCCTGCCGTATAGGGCTTTGAATGGTGCCATCCCAATACTTGCATGGTAACTATTGTTGTAGGAGAACTCAATCAAATCCAGGTGGTCTTCCCACGACCCTTGATATTCCATTACACATGCCCTCAACATATCTTCCAATGTTTGGATGGTGCTCTCGGTCTGTCCGTCAGTGGCAAGGTGGAACGCCATGCTCATTAGTAGTTTCGTCCCCATTGCTTTTTACACACTTTGCCAAAAGTTGGATAGGAATCTCGAATCCCTGTCTGACACAATATTACTTGGCACCCCATGGTACTTGACTACATACTTAACATAGGATTTTCCCAATTGCTCCATGGACCAAGTATTTTTCATGGGTATAAAGACCGCTGTTTTCGTCAATCGATCCACAATTACCCAAATGGAGTCATTTCCTGCCTGAGTTTTGGGTAATACCCCAACAAAATCCATAGAGATGGAATCCCACTTCCAATTAGGCACTTCTAATGATTGGACCTTCCCTTGTGGTCTGCGATGTTCAATCTTTACTTTCTGACATGTTAGACATTTAGCCACAAATTCTGCAACCTCTCTTTTCATATTGGGCCACCAAAACATTTTTCTTCATGTCCTTATACAATTTGTCCCCTCCGGGATGCATTGAATAAGGAGAACTATGAGCTTTTTCCATCAACCTTTGTTTGATGTCTCCACGGTGCTGTGGGACGCACCACCTTCCCTTAAAACGAAGTCCACCATCTTCATCAATGGTGAAATCCGATACCTGCCCTTCACTCATTTTCTCTTTTATATTTTTCAACTTTTCATCCTCCGACTAACTGTTCTTAATTTCCTCGAAAATTGACGGTCGAATAATTAAAGCGTTCAACATCCGACTGACTTCTCCTTGCTCTACCACCTCCAAACTCATCTTTTGAAACTCGATACACAGTTGGTCCGGCAATATCATCGTATATATCGAGTGTCTTGACTTCCTACTTAAGGCGTCTGCCACTACATTAGCCTTACCCTCATGGTACTGGATTAGAAGCTCATAATCCTTGATGAATTCTAACCACCTTCTTTGTCTATTGTTCAATTCCTTTTGGGTGAAGATATATTTTAGGCTCTTGTGATCGGTGAAAATTTTACAAGTCACTCCATACAAGTAATGCCTCCAAATCTTCAAAGCAAACACTATGGCAGCAAGTTCCAAGTCATGCGTTGGGTAATTCTGCTCATATGTCTTCAGCTGTCTTGAAGCATAAGCAATAACTCTTCTAGCTTGCATCAAAACACATCCTAACCCAAACTTTGACGCATCGCTGTACACTTGATACTCCTTACTTTCATCAGGTAATGCCAACACAGGGGCTGTTGTCAATTTTTCTTTTAGGGTTTGAAATGCTTCCTCACACTCAGGAGACCAAATGAACTTACAATCCTTTTTCATCAAATTGGTCATCGGTCTCGCTATTTTCGAAAAGTCCTTTATAAACCTTTGATAATACCCGGCTAACCCCAGGAAACTCCTCACCTCTAACATATTCTTTGGGGTTGTCCACTCCTGTACAGCTTGGACCTTAGCTGGGTCAACCGAGACTCCTTCCTTAGAGATTACATGCCCCAAAAAGGCCACTTCCTCTAACCAGAACTCACACTTAGAGAGTTTGGCATATAACCGGTGCTCCCTTAACAACTGTAACACTTTCCTCAAATGGTCTTCATGGTCCTCCTTACTACTCGAGTAAACCAGAATGTCATCAATAAATACCACTACAAACTTGTCCAAATAGGGTCGGAAGATTCGATGCATCAGATCCATGAACACTGCCGGCGCGTTTGTCAACCCAAACGGCATTACTGTGAACTCATAATGGCCATAACGGGTCCTGAAGGCAGTCTTAGGAATATCTTGCTCTGCAATCCTTAACTGGTGATAGCCCGACCTTAAATCTATTTTCGAGAATGTTCCTGCTCCCTTTAACTGGTCAAACAAATCATCGATCCGGGGTAGTGGGTATTTGTTCTTTACGGTGACATTATTCAACTCACGGTAATCAATACATAACCGTAAACTCCCATCCTTTTTCTTCACAAACAATACTGGAGCTCCCCAGGGTGAGGAACTGGGTCTAATGTATACCTTTTCAAGCAAATCTTCCAATTGGGCCTTTAGCTCTTTCATCTCAGCTGGGGCCATTCTGTATGGAGCCTTGGAAATAAGTCAAGTTCCAAGAACCAAGTCAATCGTGAATTCCACATCTCTTTCTGGTGGCATGCCTGGTATTTCATCGGGAAATACATCGGGAAATTCTTCCACGACAGGTAATTTTGTATCACTCTTCCCTTCTTCACCCCTTATCTCTTTGAGGCTACACATGAATAACGGATACCCTTTCTTGAGGCACTATTGAAGTTGTAATGCCGAAATAACCCTTATTCCTTGCCTTTTCCCTTCCTTCCTATAAGTCACTCTAGTCTTTGCTGGGTCGTAGAGCGTGACTTTTTGTGCTGAACAATCTATCTGGGCTTTGTACTTTCCCAACCAGTCCATTCCCACAATCACATCAAGATCTTTGAGATCGAACTCAATTAGGTCCGATGGAAACTCTACTTCTGAAATAGTTAGGGGTATATTCCTAAAAAGTCTAGAACACTCCTTAACTTCCCCTGTTGGAATAGCTACATCCAAGGAGACTGACTCTGGACTTTCTAACTGGAGACTTTCTATTATTGTCTTAGAAATAAAAGAGTGTGATGCACCCGAATCAAATAAAAATTTCACAGATAAAGAACGTATAAGAAAAGTGCCAATTACCACATTATTGGAAGTCTCAGCTTCACAGCTATTTATTACGAAAATCCGTCCCTTAGAAGTGTTTCCACCATTGCTGATTCCAGTGTTCTGGGCAGGTCCGCTAGTTTGTGGGGGTTTTGGGGATTCCGTCCATCCTGAACCTTCCCATTCTTCAAATCTGCTTCCTTCTTGAAACACTCGTACTCTCGGTGTCCCAATTTTTGGCAGTATTGGCATGTCACTTTATTGCCTGCACAGTCCTTCCCTGGGTGATCCTTCTCACATCTCTTACAGAAGTAACTTCTCTTATTTCTCTCCTTGTTCTCTCTATTCTCACCACCATGGTTTGAATTTCTCCGAAAATTCCCCTTAAAGTCCCTCTTATCCCCATGGTTCCCATTCCCAAAACTCGCATGGTTCTTAGGCCTCTTATCGCTCCCTTGGGGTTGATCATTGGACTTTCTTTTCTCCCCTGACATGCTCCCTAGCTCTCTTCCCTTGATTCCATACAAATGGGCGGCTCGGCCATACACCTCATCTAGACTCTCAAAGGTTGCCCCACCCAGTTTTCCTTCCAGATTCCAAGTTAACCCCTGCTCGAACCTTTGAGCTTTAATAGCCTCTGTTAGTACTACTTCCGGTGCAAACCTCATCAACTCTATGAACTTAGAATAGTACTTACTCACAGTCATAGTTCCCATCCTTAAGTTAGTGAATTCCAAACATTTCTGTTTCCTCAAATGGTCAGGATAAAACTTTTTGCTCAAAGCTACCTTGAAATCCTCCCAGCCAAAATTAGGGTCTACCATCAATTCTTCGTTCTTTTGGGTCCACCATAAGCCAGCTTCTTCTTTTAAGTAGTATACAACATTATTAACCTTCATATTGTCTGGACAGTTGATTGCATCAAACAACTTATCAAATTCTCGGATCCAGTTTTCAAGGCTAGCTGGGTCCTCTTTTCCTAAGAAAAAGGGTGGTTTGGTTGCAGCTACTCCCTTGAATACTTCACCAAAAGTATCCCCCTTTCCTGAACCCTTCCCTTGGTTTGCTACTTAGGTAATGTTTTCAGCAAGATCGGTTAGTTTCTTAAGGACCTTGCCCATATTGGAACCAGCTTTCTTATTCTTTAACTTTAAAGACATATTTTCCTGATGTTCACATTTGAGAGAAAGAAGAAAAAAATTATTAATTTATTCGTATACATAAACATAGAAGAAATCAAGCAAATACTTTATTATTATTACTAATTAATATTCGAGTACACTTTATTATGCATATAATTTATTGAAACAATCATAAGATAAATCATTTATTTGATCCCTCCTCTTCTACTGGGTCGAACTCTTGATCTTCATTGCTAGCCTTCTTGTTACCATTGGGCTCCTTCAAGTAGGTTGGTACATAATCACTGTAGTTTGGGGTTTAGCTTGACTTTGGGTTTGGGTTTCCTCGAGGGTTTGGGTTGTTGGGTTGTGGAGGAGGTGAAGAGTTGGAACTAGAAGATGATGAGAAGTCATGAACTCTAGGCCTTTTTAGAATTCGGGCTTTTGTTCGAGGTTTGGATGTTCACATGGTATAGGTACATTGTACTGGGAAAAGTGGGAAGGATGAGGGTAGTTCTTACGCCGTCCAAGTGGTGGAATGGATTCATCATCAGAAGAGTCAAAGTCTCCCTCATACTTCGGGTAAGGGAAAGGAAGTTGAGCATTTAGATAGCGGAGTTGGTCAACCTCTCTTAATGTGTGGTGAGGGGTAAGTTTAGGTGGCTTGACGGACTTCCTCTTAGGTTCATAGTTACGCTCCAAATAATGTAGGTCATTCTTAAAATGTGTCAAGGTGGCTAGCCATTTCCCTTCATGGTGATGTCTCTCATTCCAAAGCCCATCCTCCTTAATCACATCCCCATACTTCTCAAATAGAGGGTAGTACTTCTTAATCTTGGGTAAGTGGGCTAATTCCAAAAGAACTAGCCAAGGGGGTTAGGTGAAGACTTCAAGATTATACTTCTCATAGTAGTGTAGAGCTAATACTGTTATTCCAGTCACAAAGTCTCCCAGGTAAGTTACCCACAGCGTCGGGGAGAGCCTTGCCTAGACAGAGAGGCGTACCCATTATAGGCCTCGTTATGAGAACCCGAGCATCCTTTTCTCAATCATCTTTCCAAAGAAGAAAATAGGGTTTTTTTTTTTGAATAAAAAAAATGCGAAACTCTATCCTATATGCCTAACTTAAGTCTACCCATCCAATTTAATTATTTCAACTTTTAATCTTGTTTTAAGACCCGACAAACTGTTACCACTTTGTAACACCCCCAAATCTCTCTCTACGTAGATTGTAGAAAATACGTATAAATACCGTAGAGATAGACTTGGGCGTATTACCGCCGCGTAATAATGCAAGGCTTATACCAAAAAAAAAAAAAAACTTTTGCAGCAGAAAGCTTTATTCTTTATTAAATAAACCATAGTAAAATTTGTTCATAATTCGTGACATAAAATGACTCAAACTTTACCTAGCTAGGTGAAATTCCCGTGGACTCCCGTATGCATCAATCAATTTCCACCTGAAATATTCACCTGTTTACCATAAATGGTAACCAGGGAAAAGCAAAAACAAAAGCACGTATTAGCAAAATATGCTAAGTAAGTCATGTGTAAAATAAGTAAAACTTAACTTAAATCATTCACGTTTAATTTATAAAAGAAATACCAATGCCGTATTCAAATAGAATTTTTCCAATCCGATTCTTTTAATACAAGTTAAAAACTCAATCGATTCATTTTAAACCAATTCCTCACTAAGTGTGCACACCCCCCAAGTGGTTTACTTTATAATCAAAGGCCAAACTTGAGGAAAGACTAGGTCATGCAAAGTCCATAGTCTTCTCTAATATATTCCCTAAGTGGGATCCATAATACATCGATTGATTTGCATAAAAGCTCCTTTTTAAAAATCCGTTACAATTGCATCAAAATAAATTTGTAAATCTTTTCCAATCATTTCCAATCACAATCCAAAGCCTCTTTTAATTTAAATCCGAAAACATTAAATTCAATCCGACATAACTTCATAATTTAATACGGAACATAAAACATAATTTCATGCATTACATGTAATTTCATACAGGACTTAATAAGTTATAATTTATCAAATAAATATGTTGTTGTAAAAATGTAATTTCATACGGAGTTTAATAAAGTATGATTTCACACGGACATAATTAAATCATAATTTCACATGGAACGTAGTAAGATATAATTTCACACGAAATGTAAATATTCATAATTTTATACGGAATGAATTATAATTTCATACGGAACATAAAATCTAGTTTGAAAGTATCAAACCACATAACGTACCTTGATCAACCACGAGCGATTCACAACTACTTCTCTAACTCACGAACACCCTACACATAATTATAACCTTAATTAATATAAGGCTAACAAATAAACGCAACAACTTAATTAAACTACCCTATATGTGCATGAATTAATTAAAATAATTTTCTATTTATAATTTACAGAATTTTTCTGTTTTTATAAAATTAATTTGTGTAAGTAATAATACTTAGAAAAATGATTAATAATATAAAACAAGATTAAGAGAAAGGAGGTATTGAAGGATGGTGGTGGAACCAAGGCAAGGGAGGAGCAAGCGGCAGGCAGGGGTGGCGGCTGCTGGTGGTCGCCGGCGGCAGCAAGTGGTCGCCGATGGTGGGCGGTCACCGGTGGCCGGAAAATGGGAAGGAGGAAGAGAGGGGGAAAACCGTGAGAAAGAGAGGAGGAAGAAGAGAATTTCTTGAGGTTTTTGGTGTGATTCTTGGGGTGCTTGAAAGGGGTATTTATAGGTGTTTAGGTGATGGGTTTATGGAATTTAAGGGTTTATAAATTATGGAAGTTTTTGAAAAATAGAAATTAGGGTTTTAAATATATGGAAGGCTATAATATTTATTTGATCATGAAATTCTATTTGGTAGATTTTAAGCTTGGAGTGCAAGTATGACATAGAATCAAATAATTTTAGGTTTATGAATTGAAGTAAAGGAATTTAAAGGATTTTATTTTTTTAATAAAATAATTAAAAATCTTTGTAGAAAAATCATGAATGGCCGAAAATATTGAGCAAAATATTACTCAATATTTTCGGACCTATTATGTTAGTTTAGGGATTTTGTAAAATAATTTATTTGTCAAAAATTAAAGATTTAATAAGTTTATAGATATTTGGAAGAATAAAATCAATTTTCTTGCTAGATTATTAGGGTGGCCGAAAATTTGGTCTATAATAAGGTATAAAAATCAGATATTTATTATATAAAATTTAAAAAATTATTTGATTATTTTAGGAAATCATTTTATTTCATAAAAATAATTAATTTAGCAAATAATTATTAAAAATCGGATTTTTAATGTATAAAATCCGAAAATATGCTTTATTAGCTTAGGAATTAATTTTATTTTATGAAAATCAGATTTTTAATTGTAAAATTAGAAAATGATATTTATTTAGTTTTAGGAAATTAATTTTATTTCATGAAAATAATTAGTTTAGCAAGACATTAAGTAAAATTGGATTTTATTGGAAAAATCCGAAAATACTATTTACACAAATCAGATTTTTAAATTCGAAATTGCCTCTAATTTTATTAATTAATATAGTTTTGTTTTATTATTTATTTAATCAAAATACTATTTATAAATTTTTTAGTTTATCCATTTAATTAAAATAAATGATTTAGGCGCCAAAATTCAAATATCATTTTGGCTCCAAAACTGAGATACTCTTAAGTTAGAAAATACGTCGAAAATACGAGACTAAATACTCTTTAATTTAGAAAATACCTTTCAAAAATACGGGGTATTACAAAGCTTAAATCATCCAAAAATTGATTTTTGAACAATTTTAGGTGTTTCTTTATGCTTAAAATTAAATGAGCTATGTCATTAATTAACTTTGCCAATATGCAAATTAATAATGGATTTGACAAATGGGAGTTGGAAAAATAAATTAACCATCCAATGATAAAATTTTCCAACTTTCATACTTGTGTAAAATAACAAGATTACATCTTCCAATATGAAGATTAATCAAAATTTTACTCACAAGTATATGAACTTCATGGATTTTAATCAACCAAAATGAAAAATCCAAACTTTGTTCAATATGGATTTTAGGGTTAGAGTTTCAATCATTTAAACCTTTAAAGATTAGAACTTAAACATATTAGGAACTTAAAATTACACATTCACATCAAACATTCACACATTATTACAATTAATTTGCAAAATTTGTGAAAAACAAGTTTATGTGAAAAATAGCATATTAACTTAAGCAGTAATTAAAACTCCATAATTATGCTTAAGGATATTAAAAATAGCAGTAGATTAGGGATGCAATAATTCATTTAATCTAACCTTGTAATGCTTGCATTAATCAAGGCTTAAAAAGATTTAAAATTTTCGTTGAAAAACGAAAAACCCCAGAAAAAATGAATTTCTGGTTCGAATTTGTTTTCTGGACAGCCCTTAAATAGGGTTGAATATGTTCTAGAATGTTGTTTCCACCCAAAAATCACTATTTTTGAGCCAAAATCTGGGTTCGACAGCCAAATCGATAAAAATACGAGTTTTAAAACTAATTAAAACGAGCTTCTAATCTAATTAGAAAAGCAAAACCAGAAATAAAATCTTACTTTAAAACACCTCAATTAATCAATAATTGCAAAAATTAAAAGGAGCGTGGCTCCGATACCGCTGTTGGGTTTTGTAGTGACCCACACTACGCGGAATGAAACCCGCCAAGACACGCCCCCATAATAAATGCAATTAACAAGCAAAACATAATTAAAGACACAAGAAAGGATAAACGATTATACCTT